TAAACGGACTGATTTTAGCTTATTCAACAGATTTGAACTTTCCCGATACTTGTTAGCATTTCTCTCATTAACTGTTTTTTTTTTGTTATTGGAACCTAGCCACTTCCATATTTGATAAAAACTTGACATAACAAAAAACATGACCTTCCTGCAAATTATAACAAATTAAGTAATTCTGAGTCTTTCATCCTTCACGGATTAAGCCTTTCGCATCTGGATGGACTACTAACCCTTTCCTTTCTCCGTTCTTCTTCATCCACGAGAACTCGTCTGTTTTCAAGCAATTCCAGTAAATATCACCATCATTGAAATTGGCGGGTACGTAGCGCACTGGTTAAAGGTGCCTTCCAATACGCATAGAGTTTTTGAGACGGCTCAGCGCCCTGGGCATACCAGGTCCTCTATTGTTCCTGGGTTGGCCAATTGGTAATAGACTTGTTTGGGAAGATAGAAACCTTCACATGATATATCATTAGGACATCATGATTATACGTATATGTTTAATACTGCATTTAACCTGGACGATCTCAACGAACCTGAAACATTCAGCCTCTTGTCAACGTTCGAACGCTTTAATTAGTTTTACATCTCCAGTTTCATGTGCAAGACTTGGTTAACTTGAGTGTTTCACTCAAAAACCCTAAACTCTTCCATCCATATCGTTGCTAGCCTCTCGGTACATCACCCACCCATTCCACCAACGCCCCTCCAAACGACCTTCGAGGCGTTCCCAATGTGTTGTCAGCGATCGTAGGCGATTATCGCCGATTTCTCCCACCCATCTGACGATTTGCGACGAATAACTTCCACGAATGCCGAAGAATACCTGTTTCACCGGCGTCTTCTAATCGATTCGTTTTTCCTCAGTTGTGCTAATTATTAGGATTTGTACTGATTCAATTGCTTTCAGTGATTTGAATGTCAAACTACTAAAAAACTCTGGCTTGACGCGCTTTGTTTTCTTAATAACTGATCAACTATGTATTCGTACCACGAGCCTAATCATTATCCTTTCGGACTATGAAACTCGTTGTTTACGTGCCGACTGTGTTTTAGCTGCCCCTATAAAGTAGGTGCTAACGAGAATTCTTCCACTTAGAAGGTTCGTTAAGGTTCCATACTTCCTCAAAAGTTCTCATTTCCAAGGTTCCTCTTCAGAGCTGCCTTGCAGCTAATCACCTCTTGCACCCCAGTCATTGACCAATCTACTGTCAGTTAGGAGTTTTATGACCAACGTCGATTGGTGCCATCAACATTGCCCTAAATATTTTATAGGTATGGCTTAGTAAGCGCTCTAGGCGGTTAAAAATTCATAGGTTAAGTGCAAACATTTCAAAAGTCGTTTCAGGAGAGCTTTGCATTGATTCCTTCCATATTCTACCATGAACAACAATTTATACTAATTAGTCTTCATTTCTTGTGAAGACTGCTATGAAACCGTATTATATCTTCAACATATTTGTAATTGCGAGATGTATTTTTATTATGAACTAGGTAAAAGTAGTTGTCATACATCGTCATTATTCCGCTAAGATCCATCATATGAGCAATATGGCGCCGATGGGGCTACGTGGAGGGTCATCAGGTCAAATATCTGCTCTGAAACGGAGGTGAATTTAGCAGATGAGCTTTGTCTCCTCTCGTTTACGGTGATCTCTACCTTTGTCTATGTAAACGCAATCACACGTATTACATGAGTGTGTTTTCATGTGTAAGGATTGTATACTACATATCGATCGATGTAAGCTATCTCTTCAAATGAGCAAGAACAATTTAATACATAAATGAAGCGGTTCAGGTCACTTCTATCGAAAGGACGTCAGGACTCTATTAGACTCCTACAACTTCTTCTAAAGTATTAACAGTTATCTGTTTCTAAAATTAGAATTGGAGAGGCTATCAGTGGATACCTTGCAATCAGAAAGAGTGCTGATCATGCCTCATGCGGACAAAGGTCGCCGGTTAGCTTTGACGCATTATAGGGCCGAATGAGCAGTTTACTGGTGTCCGCTCGAGTCAAACCATGATTAACCGAATTAGTGATGATAACTACATGTAATACATGTGCTATTAATCGCAGTGTAATCTCCCACAAAACGCTCTTCAAACAAGTATTAGTTGTTCGCAGTAAGCGGCATTACTGATGCATCACACCAGTACTGCAAACTGGTAAACTATCCTAAATCCGAAAGATTGGTTTCTCTCGTCATCTAGCCTGGTCAAAGAGGGATTATGAGTGCCGAACTATAATGTACAAGGACAACGAAGAGTTCGCACGTCAACAAATTCGCCTAGCTTGGGATGGAGTATGATACTGCAATCCTTCAAGGTAGCCGAAAGTGAATTTATGCCACGGCAAAGCATGGCCTGCAATCCGAAATTGTGCTATCGCTTGAAACGATGGAACAAAAACCGAAGGAGTGGTACCTTTAGCGTCCCACAAGTGTGAGGAGCTCATCGAACAGCTTTGCACACGACAGGTACGAGTGAAGGCACCGCGCCAGTTCGAATTTTCCGGTGATTAACGGGACCACGGCTGATGTAAGTTATACAAGCCATAATCCAAGAAATGATTGCCATATTTGGCATTCAAGTTAATACTTCTGTCGTGATAAATTTTTGTCTTTTGTTCTCTACCATTCTACTCTGAAGCTATGCTTAGCAATAGTTTTTGTTGCTGAGGATTGTCTCAGAAAATAATTGTTGTAGTGCTTGAAAAAATGGCATTGAGTTAGAGAGAGCATCTATAACCACACAGGATGTTTCATATCTCAATGCTTTCGTCTTCTACGACTTTGAGAATGAAAACTGTGTTTTGCCTTTGTCGTACAATAAAATTGTCTTTTATTTAAACAACACCTCTTGTAGAGCTAGGCATCCTTTTTTATGTATTTAGTAAATTCTTCAGCAATAGCTCGCTGTTGTATTTAGTTCAACAGCGGTCAAAGAAATTACACTAATTGATTCCATCTTCCGTCCGATGAAATCTTTCTTGGCATTTCAAGTCTTTTCGTTGCTTCGTTGTATAATCAGTTATTGTCCAGTATGTCATCAGTCTTCGAAGAGAATACATTTTTGTCTCATATCACAGTCCGACTAACGGTTTATCTACAGTTATCTTTGGATTTGTGTAAATCGACGTCTCTGAGCTATCGTCGTCGATGGCAGCGATCTCGAGTTCTCCTTGTCGTCAAAGTTTCTATTCATCGTGCCATTTTTGAAGCCTACCCCAGATCGTTGACGGTTCCTTGGCAAACGGTGCCATTGGAATTGGTTGCGGCGGCTCTATGTCTTAGTTTGAGGAAAATGTTCAAATTGATTTAAAGGCGAAGTCATTAACCAAAAAATATAACCCGAAGTTTTGCAAACCTCCATATGGTGTATGACATCGACAAGAAAGTACAGAACTCTATTTATTAACAAGGCGTCAGAGTTGGAGAAAACGAGCCGGCTATTACTTTTCGCGCAATTCGGCAAAATAATCACCTCACATAAACGGATTGATTCGTGTATCTAATGCTGGCTTAGATTTACGCATAGTTGAGTGCCAAAAAGCGCTTATATGAAGTTTTTTTAAACTCTATTATTCTATTTTGACTCATCCGTCTTCACACATTTTGTGGAACGCAGCACTTGTATTCCATTTGTTTTCTCGCATTGTTTGCCACAATGGTCTTCCGATTTCCATGTGGATTCGGCTGCTGCTTGAGGATTTTGATCCTTTTCATGAATGTCGTTGAATGATGGACGAGTTGATTCTTTCTAGAATTCTATAATTGCCAACGTAGAACGTTCTATGGTTCAATAGGCCGGAGAGGGCTTCCCAGAGGACTCTGTTGTCAACTCTCCAACCCAAAAAAGGTGACGGGGTTTAGTTGATTTGGAGCAGGATCGAACCGTTGTCCTGTGTGTTTCAAGCGACCTAACTACCATTGGGCTACCTATTTACCATCATGCTATTCGATACGTTAATGTTGGGATATTAAATTGACGAACAACTATTAACGTCAATACAATGTCATTTTTTCGTGGAGAATCTTACATAAGTTCATCACTTGTTTAATGACGCTTGAATTCACAGACTTCATGTTCATAGAACTGTTGGTCATTTTCTACCGACGCCCATGAAACAAGAAATGAGACACTTTACATTTGTTGCATTTTTCACCAATGTCTTAAGAAGTAGCATAAATGGCGAAACACTAGCGATTTATAATGAACTAATTTGAACCACTATCCAGTGAATGAAAGGGCGCGTGTGGTGCAGTGGTCGGAGGCGCTACAATGACACACACGCGTAATCGATCACGGCGCCCATGGCCCACCAAGCCCTCCATCTCTACGGGGTCAGCAAGTTGGTACCAAACTTGTCTGGAAGGATGGCAGCAATGGCTCGATACATCGGTAGGTCACTGCGAGTGATTGTAAACGTCAGATATGCATTCAGTCACCTCTAACGATACTTAATGAAGTCGAATGAATGGCGCGACTCTCAAGGAGGGTTCTACACCGAGAGCTTCATCGTTTTAGCTTTATCCAATGAATGAAAAAGACCAATGGTATATTCTGTCGCCTACAGTGCCCTTCGTCTTCTCATAGTTCGTCATCTAACGGCTGTTTTTCTTCACCTCGTGTTTCTTGTGTTAACACTTACGCTCTTCTTCCTCGTTTCATAACTTCATCTCATTAAATGTTTTCGCCGTTATTTGCTCTCTGACTCATTCGGGTCTACTGTATCCGACCTCAGCCTCCACCTCCACTCTCGCCATTCTGGGGGTGGGCGTTGTGTCCCTTCACACACAGTTGAACTCTCGCCCATCGTATCGACCAAAATGCAAAATGTTAGTTGCTATTAAATTGTACTCTTATTTAGCTTCAACCATATGTTTGCTCTGTCCTATTCAGTTTGCTAGGCTCGTCCTGCTACGATACTAAAAAGCAAATAAATATACGACAGACGAGAAGCATTTTCACAACTGAAAGGCATCTTTTAGAGACGTATGATGGGTGGTTACGATTTTGGTCGAAAAGGATCGCTTACCTTCGCTATCATACTATCCTTAATCGGAATGGGACTCAGTATCGCTGCAATACTGACGCCCAGCTGGCAGGTGAGGCACATTATAGCGTAATAATGTTTCGTTATTTGATAAAAAAGGGACTGGTTCGATCCCAGCCACGTTATTTTTGGCTTCTGAAACGCTTTATGACCAATGTTTCAATGCTTAAGTGTAAATTTTTCATTACTACTGAGTAACATGCCAAAAACTATGACTATTCGTTCGGTTCTCGTAAATAATGAGGCAGTTGGTTGGTTGCTCTTCCAGTTAAGTTCCACTTTCGACCTTAGGTAGCACGCGATTTTCTGTCAACGATAGTTGAAAGGGGATTACTCCTAAAGTGTCGTAAATGTTCCACGACACACTTCCTGCTCGGCGGCCACCTGTTCACTATTGAATCGATTCGGTACGTTGTCAAGCGTTTAATGCCGGCCTATTCATCAATGGAAATACCTCTCTAACTTTAGCCATCGTTAGGTTTCTGTCAATGAACCTGACGGATAATGTACCACTTTAATTTCGTAGTCGATTGCAAACGTTATACATGCATGCTAAGAGAGATTCAAAGAAATGAGTAAGTATTCTAAGCAAGACCACGCCCTCAGGAGAATTTCCTAATGCTCTTAGTCTGCTTCTCTTTCTTCCCATTCTTAATAGTTTCCGGTCTCATAGTAGCAAATTTCATTGATCAGTGAGAGGGTAGGGAGAAGTGTGCTTGATGTTTCTACCCAGAAATCCAACTAGGAATGAATCTATTGATGCCAAGAGTTTCATGTAGAGCTTAAAAAAATCCTTTGAGTGCTGTTTATAAATCCCTAGCCTTCCGAACTAGCTTGTTTTTGTCTGACGCTTCCTGGATTTCCCATAAAAGAACTAATGTTAGGCTTAAGAATCAGGAGATTTAAGCAAATATTGATTGCCGAGAAATCGTTAATAATTTTAATTAGGAAGTAACAACTTTTCACTAACGTATGAAGCACGAAAATGTTCAGAAAATAGATCTATAATCTTATCTTAAGGGTATGGTGCCAAGATGTCATATACAAAGCTAATAAGGTGTACATATCGGTTTCATGGGATTTTTATCCACTACTGATTACTACCAGTCATCAGCCAACATAGTTTTGGCTACGTCAAATCAATAATAGTCGTCCAAGGTTATTCTCTCTGCATGGCAATATGATGTCTGCATAATCGCGTCATCATAGTGACGGCATAATGCAGACAACGCAAATGTTTGTTATTGTTTACGAAACAATAATTGAGCATAATGTCACTATCACTTTATAAAATAGTAGTTTCGATAGTACTAGAAAAAATATCGCACTACTAGGAGAAACAGTGAAAATTCGGGTCAGGATAGAATTTAACGCGTAAATGCAACAAGACAATTCTTGTTAACCATATGTGGCTCAGGTTACGGTCAGCATGTTAACTGTGTTTTTAATGCTCTAAAGCACTTAATAAGAACAGTACGTTTGCTCCATTTATCATTATCAGTTATCGAAGGTCGTTACAAATGAAATAGTCGTCTTGGAGTAAAATCGATAAAAGTGGTATGAACCAAAGTATAATAATAATAAAATAAAGATATAGAGCCGTAAACGATCACATAAGGATTCCCATGGACTTATAGTTGCTACTGAATCAGATATTATCGACTGGACCTTGCCACGTTGAACAAGGATTTCTGCTAATAATATACAGCGTGTATGTGTGCATTCTACCACCTCCAAGATCTCACAAATGCAGTCCAATGCATGGCGCCTCCCGAATGGATTGAACAACACCAAGCACCTTATGCCTTTGTCCCTTTACAGTTATGAAATTAGAGATTTTTTATTTACAACACAAATTGTTAACTTCGAATTCCCACAAGTAATTTTCAACTCACTTTTTGTTCTTATGTTAGTTGGTTTTGGTTAGGTACGTGTTTGAAGAATGATAACTGAATCCTCTATTAAATAATTTATGATACAAAGTTTCCTATCCTGAGGAAGAACATCTGCAGGTGGTTAATCTGCGTGAATACAATTCGATTCATGAACATGGCCTTTGGCTTGATTGTACAAGGCATAGTCGTGATGGAAACCATATTTTACAACGGTACGTTGGATTTTTCAGATGTTTTAATGTTTTTCCAATATTCTTTAATTCTTTCTAAAGTCATAACATACAGCTTTTCATTATTTCGTCAATTTATTTGTCAGAATCACTGGGATTCTGCAACTGCACACATTACCATGTAAGGTTCATCACGAGACTTCCTATTACGTTATTTATGATAAAAAAGTGAACACTTGTAAGGCTGGACAAATATAAGCTCCGTTAGGGTCAACTTTTTTAACTTCAGTTCTCTGTGTTTCTTATGCAAACGTTGGAAAGTTGGTTGCAATACAAAAGCTCTTCTGGTCCCTCCTCGAAGCTGCTTTTCGTTTTAAATGAGCTTCATTAGAGATGTAGCTCAATACATACAAGGCGCTTTTTTGACCTTGCACTGGGCTAACTAAACCTCCTATATTCCGGGTTTACAAAAACGCTATCAAATTTGTCTCGGAAAGGCTCCTTCCAATCCAGAAAGAGTGCTGACTACCAGCGGTGAAGAGAAACGCATCGATTACAATAGTCGGAAATCATTGAATATTCTTTCCTTTACCTTTCTTCTGATCAGAAATCTCTTTCTCATCTAATAGTTTGTTGCTTTTCTTAGTTTTTTTTTTCATTCAGATATGCGACCGTAAGTGAACCGTTACATTGTGTCTACAAATTTGACTACGATAAATACTCGGGCACGTTTGATCTTGAAGATGACAACAGCCCTGTCGGTGAAGTGAATCGTCATAAGTTCTACGGTATGTCGACGGTATTGCTTTTACTGCAGTTACTATGATAGACAAGTGACACATATGGTGTAGTGGTTAGAGCTGTCTTGTTTTACACACGTCGGTTTTGTTTCGGTCGCCTGCCCTGTACTGACAAACCCGTTCATGATTCCGGTGTTTTTAAATTGATATTGGGCTTGTTCGAAAGCATGACAACATTGATTTAATATCCGAAACTTATTACATAAACCACATATGCATCCAGTCAGCTTACTATTCTACAAATTAAGTAGAATTCATGACGCACTTCCCACTTCGGTTAGTGCTCAATGCTTTTTCTTGTATCCACTCTGTGATCCTCTTATCATAGTGGCCGAAAATCCGGACATATTATGTGACTATCAGAATCGTCACGAGAACGTCCACAAAGTCTAGTTGGAGTCGGCCGGTGTTTTTTTCTCAAAGGATCGCAAAACAACGTGTGGCTCGAAATGAGTGTTGAACTCAGCACATTCTTGGGAATGCACCTCAGTTTCGATGCGCCGCACATGCCCGAAGACGATTACGTCTTCCAACTTTAAGCAGACATATCTGAGCTCGTAGGGAATCTTTTCAATAGAAATTAAGACGTTTCACTGAAATATACAGATCTTTGCCTGCAACTTACAAACCTTGTGAGTTCACTAAGGTCGAATTCTGACTTTCCCTAGTCGAGAAATCGCTGACCAAACGGTTGAAGTAGCAGGATTTCGTACAGCGAACCAAAAAAACCCGAATGCACCGCAGATATTTGCTTTCGTAAAGCCTGCGTTGAAAACCTTACAAGGCTTAAATTCGTTTTAATTTTTTCTATAAACTTGATTTTTACACTCAGTTAGAACACGGTTTCCTTTCACTACGCCCATAGAATCCTTTTATCGAAAGATACGAAGCTGTAACGCGCCAATATGTGAATTTGAAAGTTTTATGTATCATTATCGAAAAACTCCATACGCTATATCAGCTGACATTTAAAGACAGATTGTACAGGGAAGCACTCGAATCAACGCAGCAGTCGTCAACATCGTAAATTTACGAAAAATCCGGTTTCTAAACGCTGACAGTGACGGTGATCGTCGGCTAGAATTCGTCCCACCGATGAGTCACAGCGCTTAAAACTGTAATCGACACTGAGTCATCAGAGGACTCCAAATTGTAGAAATACCAAAGTACCGGTTCTTGGTAAACTAGTGAGATGGTCTTAGCGGGAACTGGCGATTGCTTGATTTTTCTGGCATCCATCTTGTTTGCCATAGTTCAGAAGAAGGAGTGATATAAAATAATAGTTTCGATGAGTAAATCAAAAGATCAATTGCTATCACGGGTAGAATACTGAATTCTGCAATAGTAAAACGAATGGCACTTCCGGAAAACCAATCCTTTCATTTTCTTCTCCACTAATCTTTTGTTGAAATCAGCGACAAACACAAATAGGTCGATATAACACGACGAGACGAGAAATTTTGTATGGTTATAAACCCAAAGCGAAAAGAAAAACTGAAAGTTGTCATAGTGGGGTAGATTACTAGAGACTAGTCACAGAACCACAACATTGATAAAGTGTTAGCCGTATGTTGACCGTATCAAATAGAGTATGGATCATTTACAGGCTGGCACACTGCAACACTCATTCTGCTCGGTCTGGCGCTTCTCACGTCGTTTCTTTCAATATGTCTCGGGATGTGTGCTTGTTGTTACAGCTCGTTAAGTCTCGTCTTCACTGCAATTACTCTTTTAACAAGTAAGTCGTTCGAGAACCATTTGATTATCGAAGACTAAGCTCTTTCACTATCGACGACATCATTTTTATTCGATAATTCAATTTTGAGCACACTTCAGTTCCTAATTAGATAACCATAGCCAGTAGAGGAAACGAAACTTTATTCCGAGGTTTAGTGCTTTTGTACAGTTTCCTAGTTTTTAATTACATATATTGACGCTCACTCTCTAAGTTGGATGCATGGTGGATGTCTAAATTTTTAACATATGAGTTTGCTTTTTTTTGAAATCTAGGTGCACTTCTAGAAAAGAAAATTGAAAAGTAGTGTAACACAGGAAGTTGGGAACCTTACAATATCTAAAGCAGTATTGGCTTATAGGTTGAACGGCGCATGTAGTTCAATGTTAGAGATGCAATACAATACAATAGAGGAGTGAGCCTTGACTCGACCTTGCGCACTGAATAAGCTAAGCCTTTATTACCTGTAATATTCACAAAGTAGTAGACCACTCTGGTCGGATAAAAGCATTTGATACATTGGCAGGCCTCCAAAAGCCTACAAGCCAGATATGCATTTAATCACCTCTATGATGATACGAATAGAGTCGAATTCATGTCACATTCTGAAGGGTTAACCAAGGCTGTATGCTTTATTTGTAATCGCTTTAATTTGTCGGTTAAAAAAAAGGATGAAGCACTCGGCGTTAATCAATCCCGCAGAGATGCACCATGCTTTCGACTTCGCCAAGCACCGTTAGAGGCGATTGAGTGCATATCTGGCCTATACGATGACTCGCGGTAGCCTGCCGATGTATTCTTTAGCAGTGCTGCCAACCTTCCAGATACGACATGTACAAATTTGCCGACCCCGGCGGGTCGGAAGGCTTAGTAAGCCTGGGACGTGAGGTCGAACCCGCGCACACCGCTGGATACCTCTTACCACTGCTCTAGGCGCGCCCCTATTTGTCGGTAATTAGTCGAAAATCTCGAGTATTTTTCAGCTTTCCTCTCTGCTGTCGCTGAAGGCATATTTTTCTTCTATTCACATCGCGCCGATAACCGTTTCATCAAAGGTATCGTCGGAACATATGAGGTTAGGGATTGACACGTTTTCACTACCTTTGTAATCACTGTACCATCCATTCTTTTATTTTGTAATAACTACTCTATTCAAAGTCGATTTTCTTTTTTCCTGTCTTCTTCTTCTTTTTCCTCGCCTTCTCTTTTTTTTCTTCAATTATTTTTTTCCATTTTTTTCACATGTTCTTCTCCATTGTTCTCTTCGTTGTTAGTATTATAATTCTGAAATCATCGGGTTGCGCCCATTGCGACAAAAAGCTCAAGTCGAAAATCTTTCCATTCCATCGAACCAATTCAAACGACTTGTAAAAAAGCACATTTTTTGAAATTTTCACTAACAACACAAATAAGGACCTACTATGCCCTAATAAAAGACTTTTCAGCAACGCGTCGGATTGGCGTTCTTTCTTCAAATGGCGGCTGCCGTCTTCCATTTTTTGTCATTCCTTGTCGCAATGATCTCCAGTTACTTCTCATTCTCAGCTTCAAAAGAACTTCCTGACCATTACAGCCTCCAGCGTAGCTCACGAACCAACATGACCAACATTGGCAGGTACGTTGTCAAAGCTTTTCTCGACGGGTCGCCTTCTCTGTGGACTGTCCTTGTTGTTCCTCATATACTCGTTAAATGTCCATATAGCCACTGAAGTGCTTTTGAATTTGTAGCTAACTACACGTTGCCTGTTGAAGAGATTCGTTTTTAAACAAATCACATTGTATTAATGGAAACATTGCAATTAATCTGGTCATGGAGCAGAACTGGAATTCTGAAACGTCACTTGAACAATGTTAACTTTTTTATTTACTACCTATTACAGTTTTTCATGGCAGGGTGGTATTGAAAAAAGAACTAGCTGAAAGAAAGGTGAAACGGAAGACCCCCATGGTGTGGTGGTGAACGCATTAGCCACCGGAAAGGGTAACAGAGCGTTCGTCCCCACGCTTTCGCAAATATCTCAACATCATTTTGGTTATTTGAGTAGTTGATTTGTTGAATGGGTTAAGTAATTTTGAAATGTGCTGCATTATCGCTTTTAGTTAAGGCATCATCAAAGTGAATTAATGAAAACCTGATATTAACGTTCTAACTTGGCGGCATCGACATTTCCTTTTGACCCTTAATCCTTTTTACCAGTAACATGACTGTTGTTGTTTGTCTATTACTGGAATTCCCATATGTTGAAGGCATGCAACCTTATCCAATGAAACAGACAGCTAAAGACCAGTCTCCTATTCACCGCAAAAGGAATCGGCTCTTCTAGTCGAAGAGAATTCTAAAACTCTACGTTAGCATAGAATGGACTCATTATAATGATTATGCAACCAAAACAGGCGACTTTTTTTGCACCCCTCTATGTAATCAGGAAACCCAGGAAGCACAGTCCAATGCCGCAAGAGTTGGATGTAAGCATGGGTAACTTGTCTCTCTCAGAATAAATGTTCATGAATCGTTGACCTTTACTACGTCCTTTCAGATCTATGGAGTTCGATGCACCTTTAATGTATCACTCACAAACTCCACAGTCGAATATTCGACCACCATATTCGAAACAAGAAGAGTATGAACGCAATGTCGCTGAGAGTATGCCTGAATTGGGACTGAACAGGTTAGACGTTAGTCATAAACAATTCAAATTGTAGGACGTGCTTAGGCTTTGGAATTTTCGATACTCTGCCGCTTAATCCCTCACAAACTTCTTCAGCCTGGTATGCGTTAGTTGTTTCTGTCCCGTTTTCGTAAATTTTCTGCACTAGCGAACAAAGATTACCCTGTCTAATGGCATTGTGTTTCCTTTATGGCCTATCATTTCGCCGTGGCGAAGGACTGTTCTCAAGAGCCAAAGTCGCCATTAGAGATGGTGATTCACTTATCAAAGTGGACAGCCCAAGCTGAGTCTTTGAACTCTCTAGTAGGAGTTTCTATATAGGATACAAAAAGTGTTACCTATCTCAGTGAAACTTGCTCAAAAATGTTCACTCACTTCTTGACCAACAAGCCCTTGCAACATCTTTCTGAGCTGACCTTGAAACATCCTTACAGGTCAATTTCGGGTTTAAAGAGTATCGCGCAAAAGCGTCATGCTTTAGTAAAACGTGAAGTTCCTGGCGTTAATCACTTCCTTAGAGTGCACAATGAATTCCACTCTATTAAGCATCGTAGAGATTAATAAATGCATATCTAGCCTACACAGTGGCTGTTGAGAATCTACGGATGGTTCACGTTTTTATCTCAGGCAAGTTTGGCGTGAATTTTCCGATCTAGGCAGGATGAGAGGCTTGGTTAGCCTAAAATGCGAGATCGAGTCACCGTAACGTAACGTGGCAGTACAACTCTGCGCTCTGCGCTGAACGCTCCACTATTTCGGTTTTACGAAGAAAAAACTGCGCAATCTCAGAAAACTAAAATCGTTGTTCTGTACACATAGTTCCACCTTTTACGACTTTAGGTGATAAGGTTAGTGCAACTGGGTCATATATCAGTATGAAATCATCAGACCCCAATTTTTACATACTTCATAATGTGTATTATTGGAATATTGAATTCTAACTACCTCCCAGAAATCCGATGTAAGAATACCGAAGAAAACCAATTTAGTAAACTGTTTAGATTGCTCAGCTTACACGACGTTGTTGTAAAGGTTTTATGGGGATAAGGTTCCGACCCTCGTGTGACGCAGTGGTCAGAGGCGGCCTGAAATATACGATCCCACGCCCCAGTCTCACCAAGTCTTCCATTGCTCCGAGGTCGGCAAATTGGTATCAGATTTGTCTGGGAGGATAGCAACACTGACTCGACGCATTGGTAGGCCACTGCAAGTCATTCTGAAGGCTAGATGTGCATTCAATCACCTCTAACGATGCTTTGTGAAGACGAACCCCTCAAGGATTGATCAGCGACAAGATCTTTATCCTTATTTCAAAGTTTCAATATCTTCGTCTTCCTCAGAGCCTAACTAACTTAAGTACAGAACTATTTTCAACCATCGATGCACGATTGCCTCCAAAAACTTCGTTTATTATGCATTTCTACTCTGCCCAACGCTTTCGTATACGTTGGAAGGCCTCATCATTCTTCTTAACACCTAAGCTCGCATGTTGTTTTTGTATAGAATCCAATCACCGTATCCTCTGTCTGAAAGTTCGATTAAATCTGAAGCTGAAGAACTCTGTTATCACCGAATGAGGAGAAAATAGATAACACCGGAGAAAATAAGCTCTCTGTGTATGTATTTCACAACTGTAATGAATACACCTGACTTCTCCAGTGACGAAGTTTGGACCGTTGGTTTAGGTTAAGCTCATCTTACACAAAAAATCATAATATGTGACAGCACTAGGAAAACCTTATTGGGCTACCACAACGGCTCAACATGAAGAACATTATCTCCCTGTTGCATAAAAAAGGTGTTAAATTTCTACAGATTTTTTATCTTGTCGAGACAAAATCACCGTTTGCTGATTACAGTAATGAAGAGACTATTATGAAGGATCTTAACCTTTTTATTTGCTGTCTATCCTTTTTAATGGCAGGGCACGGTGCGAAATATAACTTCAATGTTGCTGAGATATTTGAATGCTCCGGACCGCATGTGAGGACCGGTGAGGAACGAACGCGCTATTACCCTTTCCAGAGGCTGACGCGTTCACTACCACACACACCATGCGGGGGCCTCATTGAGGTTATATTTCGCAACGTACCCTGCCATTAAAAAGAATAGACAGTAAATAAAAAGGTTAAGATTGTGATTATAACTACAGCTTTAGCTTAACTGGGGTTCATTGCCGATTTGGTCTCCACAGATCAATCCCGCTGACGGGTGATTGCTGATGACAGTGACCGATAGAGCTACCTGAGAGACAAGCGAAACGAAGAAGCCCCATGGTGTGGTGGTGAACGCGCTACTCCCCGGAAAGGACAATATCGCTTTCGTTCCCCACCACAGACACCTGCTTTCCGGAGTTTTGCAAATATCTCTGTATCACTGAATATTGTAAAGAAATCTTAATCCTTTTATTTAGTGCCTTTTTCTTTTTAATGGCAGGGTATGTTGCGAAATATAACTCGTATGTATTGCTGACATATACGGGTTCTTCGTTCTGCCTGTCTTTCAGCTAGTTCTATCGATCTTTTTGCCATCAGCAATCACCCGTCAACGGGATTGGCAAAAAGATCGATAGAACTAGCTGAGAGACAGGCAAAACGAAGGACCCGCATGGTGTGGTGGTGAACGCGCTACTCCCGGGAAAGGACAATAGCGCGTTCGTTCCCCACCACAGACACCTGCAGTCCGGAGTTTTTCAAATATCTCAGCATTACATACGAATTATAAAGAAAGTTAAAGAAAAGCTAAAAAAAAACAAATTTGTAAGTATACTTGAAAGATAGAGAAGAGGTTATGCTAACAGAATCCTGGTAGAGCTTAAAAAACATGATGACTGGCCAATCAAGACTCTCTTCTGAGTAAAGAAAAGAAAGAAGCTTCTGTTTCCCTCTGCTCAATGCAGGTGGTGGTCTCCCTTAGTGATGAACATCACACAAAAAGAATATCACCTCATCAGAAAACAGTATTTTACTGAATATCTTTTATTACAAAGTGTGTTTTATTCGTATATGTATTCTCCTTAGTCCACCTGCGGTAGATTAATATGCATGAAAGGACAAATTTCAGGAGCGCATTTCCATCCACTACCGAATTCTTTCCGCCAAGAATTCGTCGAAAGAGCGAAACATGCGTTTAAATCTCCATCGATTACCTTCATCCACCAATTAGCATTCTTCTTTTTATCACTGCCGACTTAACTTGTTTACAAATTTCGCTTTCGACTTAGCACTTTGTTCCATTTTATGTTATTTAGGCCGCTTAGTAATCAAAACTTCTATGAAACCGGTGTAGTAAACTCTGTGTATCACGAAAAATGTCACTTGTAAAGTTATTAGTTTTTTTATAAAGTTATATTTTAACACAAATGGACGTAGTTTTCCCTTCTCTTTTTTCCTCCGTATGATTTTTCCATCCTATTCTATCACTATCCTGTACTTCGGATCGCCTCAAAATCTTCTTCACACTTTTTCCATACAAAATCCTACTTTTTAAATCGATGAATGCGGTATAACTTATTTGTTTATTTGTTTTTTATCATAGAAGGAACTCTTACCATTATTTTTTGATGTTCCAAGTTCAGGGCACTTTAAAATGTGGTCTCTGCTTTCATGTGTATACCTTCAACATTTTTTGGGTTTAAGCAAAGCCTTTATTTGTCTTGCCTAATTGCTTTTTTGACTACGGTATTGATTTATTGATCAGTGTTGATATTTCATGGTTATTGATTGGTTCGATATTCTTTTTTTTGAAATCATGTACGATTCACATGAGCATTCTTTTAGTGTATGTGCATGTCACATATCATACTGTATCATGCTGTAATTTAATGTATCAATTCTGTTGTGTAAGAGAATTTCACTGTACTTTATGGTGTCGTTCACTAGTTGTGATAAACATTTTTGCCACTCAATCCACAAGTAGTAATCTTAATTAGAAAAACTAGGATTGTTGACACAGCCTATATTGTGCTTATAAATAGTTTCCCAGTCTTCTCATTTTCCCCTATCGAGAGTAGATTTTCCGAGAGAAAAATATTTTTAGAAGTGATAGGTCTATCAATTTTTAGTTAACGCCGGTGGGATCGAACCTACGACCAGGAATGTGTTGCGTGAAGCTTCACGCGCGCATCAAATTTGTGGTACAAATAGTGAATAGTGAATAGTTGATTGCTAGTGAACTAAGGTATGTTTTCGTTTACTTGAGTAGATAAATAACGCGTATCCCTTGAATAGGATGGAACGGCGCCAAATAATAGACTCCGATAACAACTATAAATAAAAATAGATTATGATAGAAAAATATTCATGCAACAGCACGGAATACCTGCAATGAGCGCTTTCACTACTGCTTCGTTTGGATCGTTCAGTCATTACATTAATGGCACACGACATTGTTATTGAAGTCAAATTGCTGCCATCAAGCGATTCGAATAAGGTCAGTTCTCAATGTTTTATGGGTATGGACATACCTTCCTAACGCAGAGCGTGTCGGAGCAGTACGCTGGCTGAACACGCCGCCATATATTGCAGGCCAATCGGGATGTGTGTGGGAGGGAATCATTCATAAATCAAGAGGCAAAGCAGGCTTGTTTCTATTCAGGCCAAAATCGAGACGCACGCTGTAATTCGTAATCTTCGAATTACGCTTAAAATCTTGTCAAATTTCCTTGATGATCTAGTTGCAAGTGGTAGAAAGACAAAGCATTTCGCGTTGTTCAATCCCTGTAATACGCTCTGCTCACGACCCCATTAAGATTCACAAGGCTGACTGAATGTGCTTTGGAGGAATACAATTATCTGAAGTGGAATAGCGATGTATCAAGCCAGTGTTTCTAACCTCCTAAACAAGTCTGGTACCTATTTGCATTTATTCCAATCCTAAGAGGATGTACGGCTTAATAAGCCCAGTGTTCGGAATGTTCGGAATTAACCCATATATACTGCCATGGATTGCAACACTAAGCACTACCACTTTTTTTTATATAACTCATCTTCAAGTGGCCTAAAGTCAACTGATAGATCCATCAACAACATGTGG